CCAGAGTCCACCCCACTTTCTCATTAAGCGGCAGTTAAGGGTTCAGTAATTGAGGCATTTGTAGGGCAAGAATTAAAAAATGTTTCATTGCTTACAATTGTGAACTGATCAACAGCAAGCCAACCACAAAACTGTCCACAAGCCATGGAATCTTGTCCTGTCTTTCCTAACGTAGGATGCGAGGACAGTAAGGTCCTTTTGCCCTTGAGTTCAGGAGCAAGAGCATCATGGTCAATTCTGGAGTGCAGGTGGCACATGACCACTGGATGAAAAAAGACAAGAGATGTGTTGATGCACAATCACCACATACCAGTTCTGTTGTTTTTTTTATTTCCAGCTGGGGTGTCAAGTGTCTGCATGTTTGGCCTGGATCAGGTGAAGAACCAGAGAGAGAGAGAGAGAGAGCGTTAGGACGCGAAGATGGAGACCAACAGAACCAGAGGAACGATGGGACTTTTTATTTCTAGCTAGAAGCCCTTATGGTGAGAGATTCAACTTTTGAACTGTGAACGTTTTGAAGACAAAAAAAATCTGTTGCTGGGAGTAAAGGCGATTAACAAGACCCTGGTACGAGGATCCTCCTCAGGAAAGCAGATTCCACACCTGTCCACTAAGTGATGGAAGACACATCAAACCTTCCCATACTTCATAATAAGTGGGGGAAACAAAACACCAACAGAGCATGGACAGAGTTCTGACTCCAGTCCTCTGAAGATGCTGGCCACAGAGACTTGCGAAATGTCAGGAAGAACAACCTTCAGAATACGGTCAAAGAGCCTGAAAAACCCACAACAACCAAAAGAAGCATCTACTACGCATGCCGAACTACAACCTGAGACAAAGACTACGCATGCCCAACTAGCAACCTGCCTAAATCGAATATAAAAAGAGGGGTTCGGGCAACCATAATTTTTCTGCTGAGACCAAAAGGCTTTTGGAACCAACTACTTTCTTTGGAACTCGGACAATGCAAATAAAGAATTCTTCTCTCTTTGGTGAGTATGTATGTGCTGAATGCACGAAACCCCTTCATTTAGAATTGTGATCAATAGGTAATAAAGTGTATGCATGTGTTGAATGCACGAAATCCCTTCATTTAGAATTGTGATCAACAGGTAATAAAGTATATTCATTTTGCATTTACATTTCGCATTTATCAATGTGTTTTGTGAGGTTCTTTGCTGTTTAATATTGTTCCTCCTGGGATACAAAAGATCCAGTAGCCACCCTTTTGTGACAGGGCAGGTCTTTTAGAAAGCCAATGGCTCTTAGTTACCACTCGAGACCTAACCTGGGAGTCATGGCAGTATTGCTGGGAGAAGCTGAATCCCACACCGATTTTCAAGAGGAAGCAGTTAAGTTTGGCAGAAAGGGAGCAACAGGGTTGTGGCAGCCGATGATCTCATGGCCCCTACAAGTTAACACATCCCAGTGATGGAAATGGGCAAATCGTGTCTCCCATATTTTAAGGGGCTGGCTATTAAAAAAAAGGAAAAAAAAGAGAGGGGGCCTATGTGGTCCTCCAGATATTGTGACTTTTGGATTGCAACTTCCATCATTCCTCAGCATGGACTATACTGGCTGGGGGGTGATGGGAGTTGCTGTCCAACAACATCTGGATGGCTTCTTATTTCCCCCTGCCTGGCTGAGGGGTAATTGATTGATTGATTGATTGATTGATTGATTGATTGCATTTATATGCCGCCCATCTAGACAAGTGATGCTTTTCGTAAAGGACGGGGAAAAGGCAGACTTGAGATATTGTGATAGATCATCGCAGATTTCTAGCGTCCAGTCGGTCAGCCGGCTGGGGGATTCTGAGAGTTCTCGTCCAAAAATATAACGTTTCTAAGCTTGGGAGCGGAGTATCATTTCATCCCATCGCCCAGCTGGGGTCACAGTTGACTGGGATGCAACAGGTTCGCTTAGACCAGAGTCCCAACAGGATTCAACCGCGCATGCAATGGACAACAGGTGCCTCTCTTGTCTTTTAGACGCCGATGGGTCTTTGAGTCGTTCTGCCACAGCCTCCTCGCCTCCCGGCATGGAGAGGCCTTTTCATGTACACACAAGTCTCACGTCCTTGTGCCAGCCACTCTTCCAGACAAACTCGGCTGCTGGCATCAGTGGTTTTGAAATCCTTGCAGCATTTCATGGTAGAAATACGTCTGGGTCCATCTTGCAAACTCCCTGTGGATCAACAGCGGGTGAGGGAGGTGGGTCTGCGTTCACAGGAATCCCTGTCTGGATTGATGCATGGTGCAAGAGAAGGCGCTGGGAGGATCTAGACTGGACGGGATAGAGGGTCCCTTTCCCATCGTGGGTGCTGTGTGTGTTTGAGAGAATGTTCATGATTGAACACACGCACAAAACTAACCCTCCCATTAAACAATAAACCAGCAGAGAATAGAAACAACCACCTGCATGTTCTGCAACCTGATCCTTAAGGAAATAAGAACACAAGTGAGCGAGCTGTAACAAAATGGTGCAGCGCAGATCTGTTCAGCCATACCTCCTCATAGCATTTTCCTTTTCCTTTCCAAAGCTTTTTACATTCTCAGCCTTCTGAATCTAGCTATGCAAAACCAGATTGGCCACACACACCCCATTTTCTGTCCTCAGGCAAGGACCTTCCTTTTCAAGCAGGTTCTTAAACCATTGTGGGTGTGGGATGCTTTATTTATTGAACTGAGATGTGTTTTTTATAAATTTAAAAATGTATTTACATTTGTTTTTGATTATGGTTTCAGTATCGGTACATGGTTTTTTTGAACAGTTTTAAAAAATGGCAATTAAAAATCTGTAATTATGGTACCGTTTTTAACAGTTGTGGGCTGCCTTGGTTCCCCTGTGAGAAGAAAGAGGGTATATAAATAACATTACACAAATAAATCTGAGTCTGGTGAGCATGTATAATCTTTGGAAAGCGCTTTTGTGAAGTTTCACCAAGATCATGTCCGCTCTTGTATTTCCGACGGTTATGTATGGATGTGAAAGCTGGACAGTTAAGAAAGCTGACAGGGAAAAAAAACCTCTGATGGGAAAAAAAAAACACTTTGATTCAACGGATATTCTGGACAGCCAGAAAGATGAATAAGTGGGTCCTAGATCAAATCAAGCCTAGAGACAAAATTGTTGAAACTGAGGCTGTCCCACTTTGGGCACATTGGGAGAAGAGAGAATTCTCTGGAAAAAAAAGACAATAACGCTAGGAAATGTTGACGGCAGCAGGAAAAGAGGAAGACCAAATATGAGATGGACCGGCTCCCTCAAGGAACCCACAGGCTTGTGTTTACAAGAGTTAAGGAGGGGTGTTGAGGACAGGACATTTTAGAGATCCCTCATTCATAGGGTTGCTATAGGTCAGAGGTGACTTGACAGCCCATAAGAACAACCACCACCCTCTTAAAATGTCTTCCTTCTCCCCCAACCCTTCCCTTTCCTGCTTCTTCCTTGATGGTCATTCTTGCCTTTCCATGGTGTGGACAGAAGGTGGTGAGATTCGTAGCTCAAACTTAGTTTGATGCTGGTGACCGGGTCATGTTCTCTCACCGCATGGACCCAGCGGCTGGGTCCTCCAAAAGAGAAGAGCCAAGACGTGCAGGAGGAACAGCCAGGGAGGATGTCATGGCTGAATTCCAGCCTCTGTTCCCTTGGATGTTGGAACATGAACCCTGCCCAACAGTAGGGCCGGCCTGGCTCAGAGGAACATGCTATCTAGTTGGTAGGATACTGGGTCCAGTTCGGCTTCAGAAGGGGATAGACAAGCTGGAACGTATCCAGAGGAGAGCAATGAAGAGGGTAAAGAGTCTGGGAACCAAGTTTCGTTTCGTTTGTAAAGACAGAAGTTTGAAGGTTGTTGCAAGGCGAGTAAGGAACAAAATCCCTAAAGACAAAAAGACTTTGCCTTTCTGTCATTTGCTGCCCGACACCTTAGACCATATTCTATTTTAGATGCCCAGCACACCACTTCCATCGCAAACTCTTTTTAGATCACTGGCTGATTCCCTTTTCGGATCACTTCCCTGATCTTCTCCCTGTCTTCTTCTTGAGTGATCGCTGTGCTCCCCTCATTGAGGCGGTGGCAAACTACTTAAATGAAAATTTGAGACTTACTGTTGCCTTATAATGTTGAATTCTCCTTACCCCATTCTCCAGATAATATGTATTATTTCTCATGGTTTTGCACTTCCTCATTAATGCTGATTTTGTCTATTTCCCCAGAGTTACTGCCTAATGCCAATAAAGGTTTATCGTATCGTATTGAGTAAGGAACAAGATCTCCGGTGACTCCAGAGGACAGGATCCAAAAGAGAGGGCGTTTTCATGGAGGGCGAAAATATCCTCATGGGAAGAACCGACCATGGAATGGACCTGCCTCAAGAGTTGGTGGACTCTTCTTCACCGGCGGCTTGCAGACTGAGGTTAGACGACCGTTTGGATGATTTATTATGGGGTTGTAAAGTAAACTGCTGTTGGCCTCAGGAATTAACATAGTTCACAACCACCACTGGATCATGGCCTTGGCTCCTTCCACCCCAAATACGTCTCCATCCTAGCTGATCCTTATGATGCCTTGCAAGACAAATGCCTTGCGCAATGGAAAACTTGCAAGACGAAAGCGTTTTGCGATTTTTGGTGACTCGCAAGACAATTTTTTTCCCTCTGGCCGTGCTTTGCAAGATGAAAATTTTGCAATACGAAACGACTCGCGGAACGAATTATTTTCGTCTTGCGAGGCATCACTGTATTCCAATGCGTATGATAATCTAAGGGCTGGTGCTTGCATGAGGATCTTTTCCTCTTCCCTCCTCCTCCTCTTCCCCTTTTATACCTTGATATACAGCAGAGAAGTTGTGAGTCCTTGGATGTTCTTGAATTCCTTCTTCCATCATCCTTTTAGCTGGCATTGGTGGAGGCAGCAGCCCCAAACATATTCATAGCCCCCCAATTCCCCCTGTGCCTTTGTCCTACAAGATCTCATAGAAGAAAGAAACCCATTGTTTTCAATTGTGGCTGGCAATGTGAGGCCTTCCAGATGTTTACAACCTTCACTGTGGGTGCTGCTGCTAAGGGTGGTTGGAGGTTGCAGTTTGACAACATCTGGACAGGGACAAGTGACTCACCCCTGTTTTACATGCTAATCTGTCCTGATATGGAATTATATGGAAATCATTAAACATGGATCCTGTAAGGAGAAAAATGATTGTTTAGCTCAAAGAAAAATCACATATACTGGACTCTGCAAATAACTACCCCCCCGGTATGTTTTGTATTTAATCTTTATGATCTAGTTATGCTCAAAATCTGTGCGCCATCAGGTGCTTCCCCTGCAGCCACGGGTGGTTCAACACTTCTTCGATCCGCAGCCGGTGAGAGACATCAGGGTGCAGCATGTGGAAGATCAGATCCTTGCACTCCATGCTGAGGGATTCGGGGAAGAGGATCTGGTGGTCCTTCTGCAGCCGCAGCATTCGCTTGACGTTGGAGTCGTCGTACGGCATGAAGCCGGAGACCATGACATAGAGAATGACCCCTAAGCTCCACATGTCGTAAACTTTGGGGTGGTACGGGATGCCTTGGATCACCTCCGGAGCGGCGTAAGCGGCAGAACCACAGAAAGTCTGGCTAGGGAGGATTTTGCCATTCCCGTCCCGGAAGCACCGCCTGGAGAAACCAAAATCGGACAACTTGACATTCATGTCTTTGTCCAGAAGCACGTTGTCACATTTCAAATCTCGGTGCACCACGTCTAAATCGTGGCAGTACTTGATGGCGCAGCACAGCTGGCGGAACATCCTGCGGGCCACTTCTTCCGGCAGTCCGCGGTTGCCCTTGATGAACTCCAGCAAGTCCCCCTGGACGCACAGCTCCATCACGATGTAGACTTTCCCGGAGGTCTCAAAGATCTCGTAGATTTTGATGATGGAGCAATGGTTCACCATCGACAAGATCTCCAGTTCCCGGGGCAGAAATTTTTCCAAGAATTCTATCGGGACTTTCTGCCGGTCGGTAATCTTCACCGCCACGTTGAACTTGAGGCGCTCCGAGTAGGCGGACTTCACTTTGGCGAAGGAACTCTCGCCCAAACGGCCTCCCAGAATATAACCTTTCTTCTTTAGAACGGCAGCGTCGTCCATGATGCGAAGAGTGGGCAGGTGGCCACCCTCCCATCTGTTTGTAATTTAGGGGTGCATTCCCTTGGGTTGGTTGGATGATGACCCCATGAACTCTTGAGTCTGGCTTGCTGTGAGGCCTCCCAGCAGGTGTTTTGAACCGCTGATGTCATCCCATGAGGTCATAAGGAATGCCTTACTAGGCTGATGATTCAAGGACCCACAGCATTACACCACACAAGGACACAACTATGACAGAATACTGTCATCCCCCCAAATTTTTCCATCTCATTCTGTTGAACAGTTGTTGTGGCTTTGTTGGTGAATGAATGCAAAGTTGTTTGAACTGGACGCTGAACTCCATCCCACCCCAACAGAAAGGTCTGGCAACTTGGATGCCTTCTTTAAAGTTCGGAGGAAAACCCAGAGCAGACTACATGCTCCGAGGAGACTGGGCTCACTGGCTTTCAAGGTTAGAAGTCTAAAACTCTAAAACACAGAGGAAGTGTCAGGCAGCAGAAGGGCTACCATTTTATCCCATTTCCTTCTCTGATGAGTGCCAGTATCTCTTCTCCACACAAGCCATTAAGTCCAACTCCCTTACCAAAAAAGAGAAGCAGCAGTTGGTGAAGAGTCACCCTTTCCATTTGGGGCCAGCCCTGCAGTTGGGCAAGGTGCTTCAGGCAGCAGGTTCTGGGGGAAATGGTCAGCAGCAGACCAAGCAGGGGGTGGCCCTCGGCCTCATAAACCTAGCTTGCTGCCTTCACTCGCCTTGAAGAATAGGGTCCTTTCGCCAGCCTAGAAGTCAGACCTCACTGTTAGTCTTGTCTGGCTTTTGTACATGAAATGAGGGTGAAGGAGCATCCTGTTCTCTCAGGCAGCACCATAGAATCATAGAAAAGGAAGGGGAAGGGGTCTATAAGGTCAACTTTTACAGTGTGGTCTTGACTTGAGAACTTAATCCGTAGTGGAAGGCGGTTCTCAAGTCAAAAAGTTCTCAGGTCAAAGCTGCATTTCCCATAGGAATGCATTGAAAACCATTTGATCCGTATCTGCTCTTTTCCGTCCATAGAGACTAATGGGAAGCTGCTATTCCGCCTTCGACCACTTTTTTTCTTAGGTCAAGAAAGGTTCAGGGAAGGCAGGGAAAATACAGTCCAGGCAGTCCCAGGCAGTCCGAAGACTGTCTCCCAATCCACTCTCTAAACGCTGGGAGGAGTGAGGAAGCAGACAGGCACCCTTTTCACTGGCCAACAGTTAACTGAAAGTTCACATTTTGCCCTTTCCCTGCCTCCCATGTGGTTTTTTTCAGTTCTTAACTCAAATCTAAGTACTTAAGTCAAGTCAATATTTTCCTATGAGAGCGGTTCTTAAGTCAAAATGTTCTTAACTCAAGCCGTTCTTAAGTCAAGACCCTACTGTATAAGGGATCCATAGAAGTTGGAAGGGGTCTATAAGGTCATCAGGTCCAACCCCCTGCTCAGTGCAGGAATACAAACCAAAAGATGTCTGCCAGGTGGTCATCTAAGTGTCTCTTAAATACCTCCAGTGCTGGAGTACCCAACACCTCTTGAGGTCATCGGTTCCATTGTTCTACTGCTCTAACAGTTGGGAAGTTTTTCCTGATATTCAACTGAAATCTGGCTTCCTTTAACTTGAGCCCGTTGTTGCGTGTCCTGCACTCTGGGATGATTGAGAACAGATCCTGCTCCTCCTCATTATGACAGCCTTTCAAGTATTTGAAGGGTACTTACTGTATCAGATCACCTGTCTCCCATATCTTGAACCAGCCTTGTCCCCATTTCTTGCTGCTCCTATAAGCTAATCTGGGCCCTTTTGTTTTAGGTTTCTGGCTGTGAAGCCAGAAGTTGGGAGTATGATTCCCCTCTGTCTCCCAGGGGAAGAGCCAACGTGTGTGGCCTTGGGCAAGCTGCACATTCCCAGGGCATGGGAAACCATTTCTGAGTATTCTCTATCTGGAAAACCCTGAAAAGGGTCATCATAAATCAGAACTGACTTGACAGCACATTATTATATTGCCTACTCCAGCTATCGTGTTCTAAATTAATCCAGCCTTAAACGTTCAGGATGTTTTGAGATAGCTTTGCAATTATTGCCGAATGAAGTCGACATTCTTTGTGAAGGCCATGCTTGAATGCATCTTGAAGGCTGCAGCTTTCCTTCCTTCCCTTTAAAAAGGAGCTGAATTATATTTTATTTTCTTATAACTGACACCGTGAAATCTCTCCTAGACAGAGAGAGAGTAGCTTTCCTGACCTCTTCCCATCTAACCGCTGTGCCAGGGGCACATTATAAAGTGGAAGGTCATTTTTCCCCCTCTTCTTCCAAAGACCTAGGAATCAGTCAGAGGGGAAGAACAAGGGAACAAAAAGATGTATGAGTCTATTGTCCTGCTACAAAACAAGGAGGGAGATGAACATTTGAAAGAACAGGCCCTGGGGACTCACAAGACAACATGAAGGCCTGTGCTCTGATAAACCCATGCAAAGATTCCAGGAGAAAAAGTATACATGACGACAACATAGATCCAGAATCTCAAGAAGACAATGCAAAGGTCATGCATCTAGAAGGAGCGCCCCATTAAATTTTCAGCCATCCAAAATGAATGGGAGAGGGTCTCAAACATTGATCTTCAGTATGAGAATAAAGGGTGACACACTAACAAAGTGTTGGGAAGCATGATTTTAAATTCTGTTTTGTTGTCGTTTCAACCATGATTGCCATGTCAATTACAATAAAAACAAAACACCAAAGTTTATATGTAGCTGCTGTTATGTGTCATCAAGTCAATATAGGGCAACTCTATGAATGAGAGATTCCCCAAAAATGCCCCGTCCTCAACGGTCCTGCACAGCTCTTGCAAAAGCCAGTCTTGTGGCTTCCTTGAGGGAGTCAGTCCATTTTCGTATTGGGTCTTCCTCTTTTCCTCCTGACTCCCACCTTTCCCAGCACGACTGTCTTTTCCAGAGATGTAGGCAGCTAACTACAGTACGTATTTGGAAAAAAAATACCACCAGCTAAGACCAAAAGCAGCAACTGAAAACAGCCTATAAAACAGTAACATGCTTGAATTAATTGATAGGGAAGCAGGGCAATCGCAGTAAGCTCTACCAAAACAAAAAACGACAGCCTTGTAGTATCTTAATGATGAGGGTGTTTCATTCAGGACCCAGAAAGGGTACCCAGCTTTGCCTGCATTAAAAGCCTATGTGTTCCACCCACCGCCCAGGGCCCTTTCTTTAATCCCTTTCCCCTCAAATTCCTTCTTTTGCAAGGCCTCATTGTCTCTTTTCTCTCCCACCCTGGCACTCATTCAGCTTAACCAGCTTAACAAAAGATGCCTTTGAACAGGTGCTGCTCAAAGCTACTTATCAGTGGGCCCAATTGCAGTCTCTGGGAGACCTGATTAAGAGACCAATCCAGTTATTTAAGCTAGGAAACCAAGGGTGCCCATTCAAAATGTTGTATTCCTAGCTTTTGCAAGAGAGGTGTACGTTCCTCCTTCCTCCCAAAGCAGAGAAAAAAACAAAAACAAAGAGAGGAGGTGGGTGCACAACTGGCTTCAAGGATGTAAACGACCCCTTTATTTAAGGTGGAAACTCAGTTGCACTTGTGCTGATTTTGTGATTCTTAGAAGTGTAGAAACACAAACTCAAGATTTGTAGGGAAGTGATTCCGAGATGCAACTGATCCGGCGACTTAAGTTATGAAATCACTGCCATTCATTCTAAATCTTGTATTTCTAGCTGTCGCTGTTTTGCACGTCATCTGGGACTAGGCAAGAAATCAATTAACAAACCAAAAGGGGCCACAAGGAGATTGATTTCAATAGACAGTATTTTCTCTCCGCTTATTTAAGTTTGAATCCCCCCTCAGCCACGAAAACTCACTGGGTAACTGCTAAAACCTTATAGATCTCATTTACTGTGAAAACCCTATTATATGTGTGTGTGTGTTCTGTGGTGTCAAGTCAGAAGTAACTGCTAAAACCTTAAAGATCTCATTTACTGTGAAAACCCTATTGTTTGTGTGTGTGTGTGTATGTGTGTGTTCTGTGGTGTCAAGTCAGAACCAACATATAGCAACCATAATACGGTTGCTATTAGTCAGTTTTGACATGATGGCAGGGAACACACCCACCTTTAACTTTATTGTTCATGCTGGTCTTTTTCTCCTCCCACCTTTAACCTTATTGTTCATGCTGGTCTTTTTCTCCTCTGTCCCTCAGAATGTGTGAGAGAAATGTACCGTATTTTTCTGTGTATAAGACTATACTTTCATCTAAAATCTTTAGACTAAAAATTGAGGGTCGTCTTATACACAGAAGTAAGCTGAGAACAAAAATAAATGGAGGGGTAAAGCAGGGATCAAAGCGACCCTGCAGGGCTTTGATCCCTTTGATCCCTACACTTGCTAAGCCCCACTTAGATTACTTAATTTTGGATTAGAAAAGTGGGGGGCGTCTTATACATGGAAAAATACGGGTAACTTTTTCCAGAACCCATCGGCCAATGTGTCCAGTTGAGACATAACCTATCACTCACACCCATGCATAACACTCTCTCACACAGAGAGAATTGTTTCTAGCAGTGCTCCCAGGACTGAGTGGCATCATCAGCAGGGGCAGCTAATTCAATGCTTCTTTTCACAATGCTGGGGTGTGCATGGCTCGTGCACAATGTGTCGGGCCCTACAACACATCCCAGGAGGATTCTGGGAATTTCAGATCCTTCTCTAGATTGCAGCTCCCCAAATACCCCAGGAAGCATTCCCAGCCGAGGGATAACATATCCAATAATTTTAGGCTGAAAAATCAGTATCTGTGCCGTTTTATGTTTTTAGCTTCTGCAGTTAAAACACACGCTTCTGGGTTAGGGTTGTGCTCTTTTGTGTTTTCCGACTACAGTGACCAGAAATCTCCAGTAATTCCAGGAACTGCAGCCTGCAAATCCAAATCTGAACACATGTTAGTTTTACCTACTCTCGAGAAGGCTTTTGAGTGATTTACCTGCAACGTTGGCTTCTACCTCTTGGTTGATTTGTGAAGAAAACTGCTGTGGAGCTTCCTGGGAGGTATAGTGTCCCATTTAGACCCCACAGCCTTCCAAAGAACTACAAATCACACAAAGCACCATGGCAGTCCTGC